TGGTTGAATATGAGGATGGGAACCTGTGGATGTGGAGGACCAGCTGCACTCTACTTGAGCACCTGATTAACTTCCAGTGCCTCACATTCCTTGAAAGTTAAAGGGGAGAGGAGAGTTGGGAAATGGGAGGAGATGATTTTTCTGAAATGAGGATATTTCTCAATAGGGGCATTCGGTGCATTTCTCACCTGTGGCCCAGCATTGTGGGCGATGGCGGTGGAGTCTGTGGGAAGCTTGGCTGTGATCACAGGGAGGCATCTGCATTCCTCCTCCTCCTCTCCGTCCTTGCAGTACTCGCTTTGGAAAACATGACTGGCTGCTGGCTTCAAAGCTCAGAGGCAGCCAGATACATTAAGGGAGCCATGGTAGCCTCGAATGTCTTGGAAAATTGTTGTGGGCCCAATAAACAAGCTTTTAATTCTTGGTATCTCTTGATAGTGTTAGGATTCCTGTCTTCTAGTTTCCAAATTCTTGCCCACTTCTCATGGGAATGTTTCCTTACCCAGCTGCCCACACAGTCCATTTTATTCTGCCGTGATTCTGAACATCTTCGTCTTGTGGGAGTAGAGCTCCCAGGAAACTGTTGCTCCTAAAGAAGGGTGTAAATACTGTTGCTCTCTCTGTGACACTGAGGCAAATGCCCCATTGAAGTTTCTGTGGTTTAATTTTGTTGCCAAAGATTGTCTGGTCCAAGGGTGTTTTATTGCATCCATAGATAGCTGTGTGAGATACTTTAATCTTCTATTTTTTGTATTTCATGCCCATCTTTCATTACAATAGACATCTACAAAGATCTGGTCTTTGTCCTATTTCTGGAATAATTATTTAAGCAGCCCAAAGAAAATGGTAGTAGAAAGGATAGTGTTTGTGAATATAAATGTCTATTTGTAGGGCTTTTCTGGCAGGAGCTTTATGGAAGTAGATTTGAAAATGTGTATTAGCCATAACAAAACTATGCTTCTGCCCATGAATTGAATCTGAAACCAATGAGGGAAACCTAGGAATTTCTGGCACATTTAGCAACATATTCTTATTTAGTTTTCCTTAAATCTTCCATTTCCATGTTGTTGGCCAAGCGGTAGAGGACTTCTTGGCCTTGTGTAATTGTAATTTAGTAATGATATCAGTGCCTTTTAATTGTGAGGTTATCACATTAGCACCCATTTTCTAGTTTTTGCCTGTGGCCTACCTTTTGGCCTAATGGCAGCTTGGTGTTGACTCCATTTTACAAATGAAAAATCTGAGCAGAGAGCAGTTAAATCATGTATCTAATAAGTAGCACAGTTAGGATAATTACAGATAATTATGAGGCAGAATGTATTTTTGGTGTGAAATTTTTTTTTTTTGGTACTGGGGGATTAAACTCAGAGCCTTGTGCTTGCGAGGCAGGCGGTGGCTCCACTGAGCTAAACCCCCAGCCCTTGTGTGAAATCTAAGATTCCTTCTTTTCTCTTTAAAAAATTCTTGTTCTTTGAGTAACAGAAAGAGAGCCAAGTGTCGTAAGTTGACCACAAAAGGCTTAGAGAAAGAAATGGTTTCACAAAGAATGGATACCAAGAAGTAGGAGCTCTGCCTTATGGATGGTTATGATAGATTTTGCCAGATTGCCTCCACGGAGGCTATATCATAATGAACCTCTCACCTAGTAATAGAAAATGATCTGTTCTTCAAAACCTTTTACTTTAAAATGTTTATTAAACTGAGGAGTGAAAGTGGCATCTTATATATATATTTTTTTCTTTCTTTTTTCTTTGCGGTACTAGAGATTGAACCCTTGGCCTTCACACTGAGCTGCATCCTCTTCCCTTTTTCAGTATTTTAATTTGAGATAGAGTCTTGCTAAGTTGGTTAGTTGCCCAGGCCAGGCTGGAATTCGTGATCTCCCTGCCTCAACCTGTCAGAGTGCTGACATCCCATTTTAATTTGTTTTCCCTTGACTATAGGTGAAATAGGACATCTTTTCATATTTTTATTAACCACTTGGATTTGTTTTTCTGGAACTTGCCTGGACATATTCTTTGTCCATTTTCTATTGTGTTGGTTTGTCTTTTTCTATCGATAAAATGTATTGTGATTGGTAATCTTTTGCCTACTACATGTATTTTGAATCTGTACTCCCAGGCTATCATTTGGACTTACTTGTGTAATTAAAAAGAAATAAGAAAAGGAGGATTATCTGTCAAAAACAAATGCCAGTTTAATGTGAATGTTTAAGAAAAACAGAAAAAAAAAAAAACACCCTATCATTGCATTTGGAGTAAGTCCTGAAGAATGGGTAAGGTCATATCTATATCTATATCTATATCTATATCTATCTATCTATCTATATATATCTATATATCCACATTGCCAAGTAAGAAAGTTCTTAGTATTTCAGAATGATTGAGAAAATTGACCTGGGAGAAATGGGAATTCCCATTGGGTTATAATTGGGGTGAAATTGGATAAATAGGTTTTGCTTACAGTGAAGGGCCTTATATGCCAGAGTGGAGTTTGGAATTCATCCTATGAGAATTTCTCAATTGAAGCATAATATCTAATCAACATTTTGAAAAAAATTAACCTGACTACTTATCTGTATGTTTACTTCTTTCCCTATATTTTGGAATTTTTCTACCATCATTTCTTAGAACAAGTTTTTTATGCCATTTGTGTTGTCTTCTGATTTGTCACTTATTCCAGTTACTCTTAGGTTAGTCTTTGTGTTATCTAGCAGCTGTTGGATTCATTTTTCATGTTCTTTTGGTCTTTTTAAGGTGTCTTTGAATAGTTGGGTTTTT